CTCGTGCCCCCACCAGGGCAGGCCCCTATCCGCAGGGCTTCCGGGTGGTCCCGTGCCCATCTTGTGGCTAGCCATGAAGATCAGGGGATGGGAGGTGTTTCCAGGCTGTCCCATCCGCTCCTCTCTCTGCTTGTTCCCCCCACCTTCCACCCCTGCGCCCTGAGGGTGAGGGGCAGACCCACCTGGAACGGCGGTGCCAGGCCAGGCCTGGGGCCGGGGCTGGACACCCTGTAGATAGCTTGCTGCTGCAGAGCCATTGCTGGCCTGCCCATCGGACGAGTCTGTGACAGCAACACGGGGGCAAGGGTGTAGCAGGGCCCGCTGGGCCACACACCCCTGGCCGGAGCTCTGGCACACGCCCAGGATGCCCCTCCTGTCTCTCAGCCCAGTGTCTCCCCTGAGGGGCCACAGACATGCAAGACAACACCCAGCCCCACTCCCCCAAGGCCACTGCAGCCCCAGCCGCACCCCGCCCGGGAGCAGAGCAGGGTGGGAGCTCAGGGCTGGATGGAGCCCCTGGGGCATTGAGTCCAGTCCCAGGGGGTGTTTGTGGGCAGCCACTGACCCATAGGTATCAGGTGTCAAAGATGAAAGTGTCCCCAGAGCCTCTTCCCAGATGGCCCCACTCCAGTATCACCCAGCGGTACCAGGACCTCTGCCCTCCCCACCACTACCAAGGGAGTCCCCATGGGGTCAACCAGGTCCCCCAGCAAACCATCAGGCACCCGTTCCTGCTGGGCAAGCCTGCTCTGAGCCCAGGGCTGCCCTTCCCATGCCCCCACGTCCCTCTGCCCCACTGACCAGGAGCCCGGCTGTCTCCCGGTGAGCCCCTTGCTGCGCCATCCAGGTCTGCTCCACACCTGCGGGGGCAAAGAGGGAAGAGCAAGTGGTGACACAACAGCTCCAGCTACTGCCCCTGAGAGGGCACAGAGGAGATGGGTAGTTCCTCAAGCCCCTGGGCTGGAGAGGAGCATGGGCAGCCTCGGGGGTTTAGACACCATGAGGACAGGCTCGGGCCGGCTAAGAGCAGGGGCAGTGGCTGCAGCTGGACCCCTCTCTTGGCCCTGACGTGGTCCCTGTGTTGCTCCAGGGATGCTGGTCCCAGCCTCCTGCATGCCCTGCTCTTCTCCCTTCAGCTGGGGGAGATGGGAGAATGCGCTGGCTTGGCTCTAGGGACCTGCAGGTCGCTCTCCCTGCTCTGCCCTGCTACCGCCCCTCTGCGAGGCGCGGTGCTGAGTGCAGCTGAGCTCCAGCCTGGATTTTCAGAGGGGAAAGGCCTGCACAGGCTTGTGAAGGAAGTTAACACGCCCCAAGTCAGGCCGTGAGTCAATGGCAGAGCTGAGCATGGGCCCCGGGAGTCCTGCCACCCGAGCCGGCATTGCCGGGCGCTGTCTTTGCCAGGAAGGAGAGCTTCGCCCACACTCACCAGGCCGCGGAGGCATCTGCGTCGGGGCCCTGGCACCGCTCTGCTGCAGGTTGCTGTCGCTGCCCCTACCTCCTACCCCACCACCGCCCTTCATCCTCTGGGACATGACAGCCGGCTTCTCCAGCTCCTGGCATGGCAGAAGGGAGCAAACAGGGGTCAGGGGCAGGCTAAGAAAAGACGGGGCCCCTGCCCGGCTCCTCCTGGGGTCTATCATGACTGAGGTGGGGCACAGATCCTCTCCGGCCATGCTGTGCTCGGTGCATGGGTGGGAGCCCCACAAAGCCACCCCGCTGGTTGCTGCATCTCTGAACCTCCTTGCTTCAGACCCATGTTGGTGCCCGCCCAGCCCCAGAGGTAACCGAGCTCTTTCCTGCAGCCTGCCAGGATTACCACAGCCCAGCACAGCAGCTCCATGCAAGCGCAGAGCTGCCTGGGGCGTGTTTGCTGCTGCAGTCGGTCTCCTTTACCGCCTCTCTCCAGAGGGAAACAGAAGCTATCAGGACAGGACCACCTCCCGGATCCAGCCGTGGTTCCAGCATGCCCCATGTCCTCAGCACCTCATAATCTTTGATGAGTGTGGGTGCAGGTGCTATGAGCCCTGTTCTCTATGTGGGGCACCGAGGCCCATGGGCGCTAAATGACAGGGCCAAGGTCACATAGGCAGTCAGTGGCAGAGTGGAATGGAGCCAGGCTCTGACCAGCACCAGCCCATACTCCCCTTCCTCACTGGGCACTGCGGTGCTTACCCCATTCCCGTAGGACAGGACAGGGTCAAACAGGCTGTCCAGGTAATGATCCAAGCCCTTCTGCATTCGCGGTTCGCTGGAGGCATCAGACTCTGCTGGCAGGGCCAAGACAGACAGAGGACGAGTCAGCCAAGGGCTTGGTACACGTGTCTGATGGTCCCCAACTGCATCCAAAGCCTGCTGCAGGGTCCAGCCCACTCCAAGGCCCCTGCCCACACAGAGGTCATAGCTGGGACGTGTGGAACTCCCTGCTGCAGGGACTGTGAGGGCCAGACACAGCAGCTGGATTTTAAGAGGGGCAAGGCAATGCCACGGCCAGCTTAACCTCCGTGGAACCAAACTTCAGGCTCCAAGGCCTCCACCCACTGCCACTGGGGCCAGGGTTTTCCTTCCCTGCCTACACCCTGTAGTGCCCGAGTGCACTGGGGAAGGGTACCTTTCTGTACGGTGTCAGGCACCGGCGACCTGGAGCTGGAGCCTGAAAGGGAGGAAAGCAATGTGATCGCTGGACCTGGCATGTGCCAGGGCATGTTGGGTACCAAGGAAGGGTGAGGAGTCCAAGACTTACCCTGACTGTGATACCCATCCGAGTCCACCACGCTGGGAGGCTCAGTGGGTGCCTTGGTGGCCGGGGGCGGAGGGACTTCCTCATCAGACTCCATGCCCTGGCCAAACACCCTGCAGAGGCCAGGATGGGGGAGACCCTGTTAGTCACCCTGAGCTCTTTAGCCTCATCACTGCACACAGCAGGCGACTGGCAGCACCTGCCACCCTGCTGCTGGAGAAGGCTGCAGATCCAGCATGGGGCTGGGCTAGGGGATGAGGTGAAGGTTTGTGCCAACCCCACCTCTCCCTCCAACACAGTTGCTGCTGAGATGCTTCAAGCCTGGGCACAGCTGGCATCTACAGCCGACAGCACCGGGCTCCAGGCATTAAAGCTGCACCCTCCCTCTAGGCTGCATCGCCGTGCCACTTGGCTCATCCAGGGGCACCATGCACCGGGAACGAGGGGCTGGGAATCTCGGTGTTGCTCCAAGGTGGCTGCCAGACACCCCGAGGGCACTCCCACAGGCTGCCTGGTCCCCCCAGATACCTACGCCCAGGGGGCCCCCCGGCTCTGGTCCAGCCCCTCTGAGGCGATGAGGAAATACGACTTCTGCTTGGGGAAGCCATGGAGCAGCTCCAGGTCGGAAATCAGGTCCAGGACGTAGTCGTGGCCGGCCAGCTCAGCCCACTGGGTCCCGTCCTTCATGGTGACGGACCAGCCCCGCCAGCCTTCTGTTATCCCCCTGCGGGCACAGCACAGCCCCTGAGCCAGGACGGCGGCACAGGGCAAGCCTCGGAGCCCGCCCTGGCACCGGTACCCTGCTGCTGGCAGCCCCACAGCCCCCGGTACCTGGACTTGAGCAGGTCCGCGGCCATGCTCTCCCCTGTGCTCCAGGAGTGGATGGGGCAGGAGAACTGGTCGCCTGGGGAGGTCACGGCAGCCCGTCACTTCCCGAGCCCCGTTCCCTGTCCACATGCTCCCTGCCCCAACCTGGCTCCACGTGGGGCTAAATGGGGGCTGTACCCCCAGGACAAGCAGGCAGCTCCCCCATGTGCTGTGCCCCCTTTGTCCTTCTGTCCCGCACCCCTTCATCCTGCCCTCTCGCCGCTCATCCCCTGACCGCTCTCTCCCTCCTGACCCCGACAACCTTGCCCCCCGCAGTCTCCCCGTCCCTTCCTGGCCCCCCAGAACCTCCCCCCAAAAAATCAGGGCCCAGTTCTGCCCTCTCTTCTGCCCCACGGCACCGAGGAGAGCAGCCGTTAGGCCAAGGTCAGTTCCACCCTTACCATTGAAGCAGTAGATGTCCAAGGCCATGTTGGCTCTCTGCCGGTTGGTCGTCCACTCCAGCAGCGATGGGGGGTAAGCCCGGGCCACCTCGGGCCCAAACCGGGATTTCAGCATGGCCTGCAGGATCTTGTGCTGGCACACGTACTTATAGCCATTGAAGGCGTAGTCGGACACGAACCTGTGGAGGGAGGGCGGCTGCAGCGGGGAGCTGGGCCAGCAGGACTGGCAGCAGCATAAGGGAAAGGGGGGTTGCCTCCACTGGCCTCCACTCTGCCTGGAGGGATCCCCATGCCCCTCCGGCCCCACGCCCGTGCGTGGCACAGCCCCGGCCCCCAGCTACTCAGGCAAGGCAGGCATCGAGGGAAAGCAGGAGTGGCAGGGGTGTCTCAAGCACAGCTCAGCCTCCCACAGGCCAGCTCAGTGCCTACCGCAGCCAGCCACCACCTCACTACTTTAAAACAAGGGGCCCAGGCCAGTTGTAGGGTGCAGGGGCTTGTGGGTCCAATCCCTGCTAGGAACCATGGTGTGTGCAGGGACCGATGCCCTCCATGCCCATTGGGGGGTCATTAAAGAGAGCTCAGGATCGGGCCCGATCCTCCTCAGGTCCCCCAGGGAAGGGCACCACCGCCCCACGCTGCATGACCGACCCGCGTAGCCCCGGTACTCACTTGAGCAGGTATTTCTCCAGGCGGGCGGAGGGCATGAAGCAGCTGAGGCAGGCGGCCAGGAGGAGCCAGCCACGCTCCTCGTTGTTGATGTTGGTATTGCGCCAGACCTGGTTGGCAATCTGCACCAGGATCTCATCCCGCAGCCCCGGTGTCGAGAGCCCCTTCTGCACGATGTAGTTCCCAAACAGGTTCTCCCGGGGGCCGTTGAGGTACGGGTCGCCCATGAAGCGCAGAATCTGCCCCGGGGGCAGGGGTCAGGAGAGATGGGGCACCGGATGGCCAGCAGACGTACTTCCTCCCTCTTCCCCTCCTCTTGCCCTGTTTCCCACACCCCAGGTGTCCCCATCTCCCGTCTCTCACTGCAGGTCCTACTGCTATAAGACCCCAGGATGATTGAGAAGCCAAGATCCCCGTCTTCCGGAGAGCTTTCTGGCCAAGCCCAGCTTGCCAAGCCCTGGCCAGCCCCACTTTGCTCAGAGCTTTCACTGTCCTGTGGCCCCCTGCGAGAGCCAGAGCACTCTGGAGGGCACCAAGCTGCGGGGCACGACGGGCGGATGGAGGAGTTGGGGCAGAGGGTGCAGCAGTGCACCAGGGCAGAGGAGCACCCTCCTGTCCTGCTGGGGAGGTGAGACCAGCTCTCCTTTCCCCCTTGCACATGGGACCTGTATGACCCAGCAGGCTGCAGCATCCATGCACCACGGCCCCTAGGAGACCGATGGGGGCACGGAGCCTGGAGCTGGAAGGGAGCAAGGCCTGGGCTCTGGGATGGCCCTGTGGATGTTCCCAGTGCTGGGGCTTTACAGTGGCCTTTCCTCCGTACCCCTGGTGTGGGCACTTGTGGCTAGTGCAGCTGAGGGATGAGGGTGTAGAGCCAGAGCAGGAGGGGATGTCCCAGGCCTCCAGCCCAGAGCCATCTACACGGAGGCGCAGCGCTCCCTTCCCAGTCCCCAGGCTGCAGCCAAGGGGAGGCCGGGGAGAACCCACCTACCAGCTTGAACAGGCTGAGCGCTTCTCGCTTCAGCTCCTCCTCCACGCGGGTGAGAGGGGCCGGCAGTGGGACCGTGAGCATCCCAAACAGGGGCATCTGTAAAGCAAGAGTGGACGCGCCGAACGCTCAATGGCCAAGACTCCCACCCTGCTTGGCTCCTGGGGTGCCCAACCAGCCCTTCTCCCACAGGCCTGGCCAGGGGCAGAATTCACCTCCCTAATCTCCCCTTCCAATGGTGTTGTTTGCGGCTCATACCAAGGCCATGTTTTAAAATCCCACATTGCCCAGCTTCAATCATGGCCTGGCCAGGCAGGACATGGGGAACACAGCTGGAACAAAGCACAGCCCCTAGGCTGGGATCAGCTGCTCCCTTGTGTATCCCTGCAGAGCCCGCAAGCAACTGGACCCTGGTTTTGAGATGCCCTGTCCGAGGTTATGCAGTATGTCAGTGGCAGAAGTCCAGGAGCCGCAGCCCCTGGCTCTAGCTGTATGACTGCATGCCTCTCTAATCACCAGGAAAAGTTCCCTCCTGGAGATGGATGAGAACCCGGGTGTCCTCGCCCCCTGCCCTGCGCCCTAGCTACAAAGCCCATTGCTCTCACTTCACATCCTCCCACTTGGAGCAGGTGCTGAGGGGCTCAGCGCGTTGGGGCCAGGCCTCCTTACCTGGAAGTGGGCCTGCACGTACTTGGCCATGGGGTAGTTGTTGATGTCGAGCGGCAGAGTGGGCTGGGAGTCCGGCTGCATCTTGGGAGCGGAGCACAGAGCGATGCACATGGCATGTACCTGCCTGTAGGCTGGGGGGAACCAGAACGGCTCATGGTCAGCGGGCTCAGGAAGGGAAGCAGCTCACAAAGGCAGGGGATAAGCAGAAGACCAGCTTCTGGATGTGCCCACCCCCATGGCATCACACACCCAGGGCAAGGCACAAATCCACCTGGGGTCATTTGGCTGCCAGAGCGGGGCAGGATCAAATGTACTGGCACCCCTACAGCTTGGGGGAAACCTGGCATGGGCTGCCCCTTGGCTTAGATCACAGCAGGGTCAATGCCTCTTGGGTTGCAGAAAGCACCGCTGGATCACCTGCAGAGGCTTGGGAAGAGTAGCAGCAGAGGTTCGATGTGAGCAAATGGGAGAGCTCTTAACAGTGCACAGCAAACCCATGGGACTCAGTGCCCCAGGTACTGGTCCTGGGCTCCGACTGGGATTAGCCAAACTGATGGAGGATGAATCTATCCAGGACTATGGCACACACCAGCCAGGGATAACCTCAAGCTCAGGGCAGCCCTCACCCCATGACGGCTGGGAGCATCTGGAGCGCTCTGCACATATTCTTCTTTGAAGGACCTGCTGCTTGTCACCCCCAGAGACAGGACATGGGGCTGCACAGGCCTCAGGCGGACCCCATACATAGCAGTTTTGGTAAAGGAGGCTTTGCCAGCCCCCAGAAGCCATGTTGCCCATGCCCCGCTCAGCATCCATGGGGCATCGGCTCTTACCTGCCCCCTCCAGTAGCCTCACCAGGTCGATGGGGACTTCCAGTCGTGACACATCCATCACCTCCCTCTTGGTCAGCTCCTGACAGCAGAGCACACAGTTGTTGGCCATGGCTCTGGACGCCGGTCCCCAGTCCCTTCCGAAGCCAGCCCTGGCACTGGGTGGTCTAACAGACACTGGACCCCCTGCCTGCCACCCTCCAGGGACTAGCCTGGCTTGTGCTCTCAGAGCCCGACCCCAGCAGGGTTCAGAGATGGAGAGATGCCTGCATTGTCTGCTTAGCGGGGTCCACGCTCTCTGGCCACACACAGCAGGACGTGCAGCTCACTGAAGACAGTGGGCAGCAGCAGGATGTGAGCCTGGACCTCTGCAGCGTGCTATGCCTACGCACCCTCCCCACGCACACAGCACACATGCCGCACCCAGCAGAGATGTGCGGCCACACACGCCCACCCCAGTGCACACCCACACGCAAGCATGAGGACACACGCACGCATCCTGACCGGCCTCCAGCATGTGCGCACACCTTCACACAAACTTCTAACACATGCCCCCACCTGAGCCAGCAAGCCTGCATATATAGCTATCCACCACACACACACATTCAGGTATCTTCCATGCACATAGCACACGCACAGCTCCCCATGCACCCACACACGCATGCATGCACGCACACACACACACACACACACACACACACACACACACACACAGGTAAACTCCTCTACTCTAATGCACATACTATACACACAGCCCGCATATACATACACGGACACACACACACATATATAAATGTGTACATGCATGCACACACACATTCTGGTGTATTGCTTTACCCTCTAATGCATGTGCTACACACACCCCAGCATGGAGGATGTGTGTATATATATCTGTGGGGGTGAAGCAGGGGGCTTGGTGTATATATATACACACACATACACACACATACCCCACATCATATATATATGTGTGTGTACACACACATCCCTGAGGGCACCAGGAATTACCTGCTGAGCCCTTCTCCTCTCTTCCTCTGCCCGCCTGCGTGCCTCCTCCTTCCTCTGAAACCAGAGCAGATGAGCATGTTGAGAGCAGCGCCAACCCAGAGCTGTGGCTACCTGCACGGGTTTGCTTGCCCGATAGGAATCTGGCAGGATCGGGAGAGGGCAGGGGCAGGGGCACAGCATCACAGGAAGGCAGCGCCATCAGCAGGATCAGATTCGGGAGCTCCAGGAGCAGCGGGCTGGCCTGGACAGCATACCGCTGCACTGGAGGGTGATGCCTCTGGACATCTTCCCCAGGCCAAACCCTTTTGACAGCTGAGCCGTCCCCTCGCATAGGGGCCCGAACAACCGCTTGCCCTGCGTGCTAGAGCCCTCACAGCTGCGTCCGGCTGGTTGGCAAGGGTCTGATCCCCCCTCCCCACACTGGCTGGGGTGTCTGGGTATTTTGCAGCCCCTGCATGGGTTAGGGACAGGCCTGGGCAGTGCAAGCGGCTGCCAGCCCATTTCCATCCTGACTGGCACCCCCCACTCTGTCGGTGCCCCCAAAACCTGGTGGCGCAAAGACCCCCTCGGCTGCCCAAGCCTGCAGCA